AGGACCACTGTCTCTAGACATGTTGGACGGCTGGACGCTGGAGTCCAGCTGGACGTCCTGGAGACATGGACACAGCAACAACACTCATCTTCACACCAACACAAACACAGCAAGCTGCTGCTCCTCTGATTGGCTGATTGCTGTCTCTGATTGGAAACCTCCTCCCACTGAGAAGCTGCAGCTTTACTGGGAACACTGGAGCTTTGCATTGATGCTAACTGGGTTTAGCTCAATATGCTGACAGCAGCTGGACTCACTACAAACATTTACTTACCATAAAGTCTCTACAAAACGCTTCAGCTGCTGAACATCTGAATCCTTCAGGTTGTTGAATCTCAGGTTCAGTTTTGTCAGATGGAGGCTGTTGGACTTCAGAGCTGAGGCCAGAGAATTACAGCTGATCTTTGACAACCTGGAGTTCTCCAACCTGAATAAAGAATAAAAGATGTGAGCTGAAGCCAACAGGATGCAGGTTAACCAGTCCAACAGAACCAGTTAAAGAGTCTCATGACTATTAATGCCAACAAGCTGCTGCTTCAATAAAGACCTGCTGACTTCAGAACCAGAACCAGAACCTGGTACTGGGTCATGTTGTGTTGGAGGATTTTAGACAGTAAAATCTTTCCAGGTTCTGATCAAAGTGTTGAAGCATCAATCATTGATTATTGGTTTGTTCCTGTCAGATTCCAAGAATTCACTTTTCTAGACTGGGTTGAATGACCTTTGACCTGCTTGACGTGAGGGGGATTTCTACACACTGGTGGTCCGAATGCTGTCCTGTTCTGACCTCAGGTCAGCAGGTCCAACTCAGTTAGTTACACAGAGGGACTAAATTAAACTCTGGATCCAGGAACAAACTCAGAAAATATTTATTAGAACAGAAGATATGAACTTTGATTTATGATCAATTATAGATAATTATTCACTGAAATATTGATAATTATATAATTACAAACCCCAATGTTTCCAGTCTGCAGCCTTCAGTCTGTAGAAAACCACAGAGCTCCTTCAGTCCAGAACCTTCCAGGTTGGTTCCGATCAGGTCCAGTTCTGTCAGATGGGTCGGGTTGGACTTCAGAGCTGAGAACAGAGACGTCCAGCTGGTCTCTGACAAACTGCAGCTCTTCAATCTGAATAAAGAATAAAAGATGAGCTGAAGCCAACAGGATGCAGTTAAAACTGAAATATGAACAAATAAATAATAAAATGTAGAAAATTAATTTCCCTGAATGTAAAAGAAACATGATGAACTGATTCTAACATCTGATCCAGTCAAACTGGTTTAAAGAGTCCAAACCAGCAGAACCAGAACATTTTATCATGACTTGTTGTTAGAAGTTCTGAATCCTTCATCAGAGATGCTGCAGAAATGGAAACATTATCATAAAGGAACAACCTGATTATGAAGACGAGTCATTTTTAAATCTATTTTCCAGGTGAACCACATGAGGATGATTTCAGTAAATGATGAAGCTTGATGCACACAAAGCTTTACAAAGGTAAGATCTCACTTCCTGTCCTACAAAATAAGAGCTGAATCAAGATGTCAAGATGTTTGAACTAAATGACTTTAACACCAAAACCTTCACAAAGTCAGTATTTACTGCAGGACTGTTAATTAATGATCTTTGTATTATTTTTGTCTCCTTCATGTCAGGAACTCAGCCAGAAGACTGTGGTCATCCTGACAGAGTCTGTCAGAACAAACTCAGATTTCCTCTGGAAGCTGCTCTCAGTGGTTTGGAGGACGACTGACTCGTAATTTGCTCCATCAGTGGAACTGACACTAAAATGGAAACTCATCACCTGCTTCCATGTTGTTTTGCTTCCTGCCAACATAAAACTCCTGCATGAGCTGCAGCTCCATATGAGCAGGCAGTCGAGTCCCCAGAAAGCTTCCCTGTTTCTAGGAACCATTTCATCCAGAGTTGGTCGACTTTCTCTGTCAGACGGTGAACCTTCAGTCTGAGCATGTGCAGAACCTCTCCTAACACACCTGGTCCAGATTCATGTGCTGCAGTCTCTGCTGGTTCTGATGTCTGGACCAGAAAACTGATGTCCAGAAGAACCTGCAGCCTGTTGAGCTCAGAGAAAAACTCAGTGGTCTGGATTTTTTCAGACGAAGCTGAAGTTGGTTTGTGATTGAAGCTTCAGATTCAGGAAATGGATAAAGGGCGATTCCACCTAATTATTCACTACAACCAGCATCTTTAATCTGCTCTAGTTAAACATTAAAACACCTGGACTGGATGATTATCAACTAATAGCAGAATATTTAAAACTAAGTGTGAGATTTGAGGAACTTCAATAAAGGGAGATTTTCATTCTCTCTGTTTTTGATCTGACCTTTGACCTGCTTGACATGAGGGGGATTTCTACACACTGGGGGTCCGAATGCTGTCCTGTTCTGACCTCAGGTCAGCAGGTCCAACTCAGTTACACAGAGGGACTAAATTAAACTCTGGATCCAGGAACAAACTCAGAAAATATTTATTAGAACAGAAGATATGAACTTTGATTTATGATCAATTATAGATAATTATTCACTGAAATATTGATAATTATATAATTACAAACCTCAATGTTTCCAGTCTGCAGCCTTCAGTCTGTAGAAAACCACAGAGCTCCTTCAGTCCAGAACCTTCCAGGTTGGTTCCGATCAGGTCCAGTTCTGTCAGATGGGTCGGGTTGGACTTCAGAGCTGAGAACAGAGACGTCCAGCTGGTCTCTGACAACCAGCACATCTCCAATCTGAATAAAGAATAAAAGATGAGCTGAAGCCAACAGGATGCAGTTAAAACTGAAATATGAACAAATAAAT